TTCACAGAGATCACAGAGTTTTCGGCAGGGTTGGATCTGAAAGCTCCAAGACATATTTGTAATGCGGTATTCTGAATAATGTCAAGAGTCATTATATAAGTCTTTGATGCTCACATGTATACAATGCATCCATAATCCAATCGAGAGTGAATGAGAGATTTGTATACCTTAATTAGGATGTCGTCATCAGCTCCCCAGTGGTGGTTTGCTAGAGATTTTAATATATTTAATCCAGTTAAGCAATTAGCTTTGACATTTGTAATCTGTGGTTTCCATGTTAGTCGACTATGAAAAATTAAATTTAGTATCTTGTGTTCATTAGCTACTGTGAGCGGAGTACTCTTTAATGTAATTTGAGGTACACATTATGCTACGTGTCCTTCGACTGAATTTGAGTACTTTTGATTTTTTATCAGAGAAATTAATACCAAAACCTATTGACCAATAAGTTAGTTCATTTACTGCTTTTTGGATTAAGTTTGTAATTGTGAACATATCTTTACCGCGGCAATATAAGTTGTACTTCACTGAATCACAGAATAATAAACAATCAGAATGTCCACTCTCAGATGCCGCCTTTGAAGTTTTTCAGCAGGCGCGCCATGTTTTAGAAGGAAACACATAACACAGACATATGATTTGTGAGGTTATGTAATTGTTTATATTTATGTTTAATTAAATTATATTTATGTTATTATAATTTGTGAGGTTAAGGGGGCGTCGTCAGGACCTGCAGCTAAATTTTTGCAAGTTGGAAGAATATTTAAGAGTAGAGTTAAATTTAAAAGATTGGGAAGGATATATTATAGGAGGATTTGTTTCTTTGAGTACATTGTTTTTAAACCGTTGACAGGAATTCTTGTGTGCGTATTTTCTCCGCATTTGATTAATTTTCTTCCAGACTTGAGAAGGGGCAGTATTATGAGTTAATGTGGAAATGTAGTTCTTCCATAGGTGTTTCTTATTTTGTTTGAAGATATACCTAGCCTTGGCTCTAAGCTTTTTAAAACAATTGAGGTTTTTGTCCCTTTTGTTTCGGCGTTGCTTATGAAGGGCAGTTATATATTCTTTTACAGCAGTTGCACAACGTTTATTTCACCAAGGTATTAATTTTCTTGTAGAAGCTATTATACTTTTATTATACCTTTTCCTACGTACATATTAGCAGCGGAGATAATGCATTTATTAAAATTATCTACATCATTATCTATATTTCCAGAGAAGAAAATTTGTCCCATTTGGCGGTCTACTTTAATTCTGAAACTTACCCAGTCAGCATTAGAAATCTTCCACTTTATTGCTGTTCCTGGAGATTTTTCTTTATTTGTTATGAAGATGGGAAAATGGTTACTAGCATATAGATCATCTAAAACATTCCGTGTTTGAGAAGGATATATTTTGGAAGCATGTAAACTTAGGTCAATCGCTGAAAAATTTTCTGATGAAATATTGAAACGAATGTTGGAACCATTGTTCAGAAAATAAGTATCGGTAATGTTTAGTACGCTCTCTACAACTTTTCCTCTGCCGTACGTGGCTTGCAAGCCCTATACAATATTGCGGGCAATAAAGTCTCCGACAATTAAAAATGGTGCTGAAAGTTGAAAAATTAAGTCTACTAGTTCAGCTTTAGTAGGATTGTAACTCGGTGGGATATATGCTGCAAATAGAATGCTGCAAAAAAATTAGAGGCATTTGAACTGTGGATGTATCGCAGAATCCTGAGAATATCATGGACCGAGAGAGTCACAAATGTCGAGGTCTTGAGAAGAATGAACAAAGAAAAGGAAGTCATATTTACAATCAAAAAACGAAAACTGCAATACTTGGGCCACATTACAAGAGGCGAAAGATATGAACTGCTTCGAATAATTATGCAAGGGAAAATAGCAGGAAAAAGGTCCATAGGAAGAAGACGAAACTCCTGGCTAAAGAATCTACGGGAATGGTATAGTTGTAGCAACAACGAATTGTTTCGGTCAGCAGTTTCGAAAATACGTATAGCCCTGATGATCGCCAACCTTCGGAACGAAGATGGCACTTGAAGAAGAAGAAGAAGTTATTCTTTTAGGGCACCATATGGATACTGTGATTGTTTCTTGTCAGCCAGGTTTGTAACTAAAGACAAATGTTTAACACACGCATTTTTCGACAAAATTGAGGTTTCTCTACTTGCTCTAAGGCATTCTGTTCTTACGTGATGATATCCTTCATAGCACCTAAGATCAATATATAATGATTTTGTTTAAAATTGATTTCCTGTAAGCATATTATATTTGGATTGATGTCGCTAATACGTTGATGGAAGAGACTTACAAATTATAGCTAATCTGTATTATAATCAATCAGCGGTACTCCGAATAGATGGAGAATATACAGAACAGGTCAAAATCTTAAGAGGAGTGAGACAGGGGTGCATAATTTCACCACTGATATTTAATCTGTACTCGGAGCACATTTTTGAAGAGGCCCTAAAAGATATTGATGAAGGCATCTCAATAAATGGAATCAAGCTTAATAACCTGCGGTATGCAGATGATACAATAGTGTTTTCCAATACCATAGAAGGGCTGCAAAACTTAATGAACAAAATAACAGAAACAAGTAGAACCTATGAACTGGATATAAACACCAGCAAAACCAAGCTAATGATCATCAGCAAGCAAAACATAACTGGAGCAAATCTCTATGTGAACCAAATGAGAATTGAACGTGTCTCACAATACAATTACTAGGGAACTATAATCAATGAGTCGTGGGACAATACCCAAGAGATTAAATGTCGCATCGAAAAAGCCAAAAGTGCATTCTTGGCTATGAGCTCTGTGTTCAAAAGCCATGACCTCACCCTGAAAACAAAAATAAGGCTCCTTAAATGTTACGTGTACTCAGTGCTTCTGTATGGAGTAGAAACGTGGACATTGAAGGCAGAAACTATATCAAAACTTCAGGCGTTTGAATTATGGTTATACAGAAGAATCCTGAAGATACCATGGACAGACAAAGTCACCAATGAAGAAGTACTGCGGAGGATGAACACAACCGCGGATTTGGTCAACATTGTGAAGAGCCGTAAGCTGGAGTACTTGGGACATATAATGAGAAATCAAGGCAGATACGAGCTACTCCAATGCATTTTGCAGGGTAAAATTGAAGGAAAAAGAGCCCCAGGACGAAGAAGAATATCCTGGCTTGCTAACCTAAGAGCATGGTATAAAAAGACCTCAACACAGCTATTTCGTATAGCAACTAACAAAATCATCATAGCCAGAATGATCGCCAACGTTCGAAACGGACAGGCACCCTAAGAAGAAGAAGAATACGTTGTTGGATTCTTTCTAATCGGCAAAAGAATTCGTCGCAATTCCATTGAACAAGTGTGAAAGTTCTTAGGGATTGGATTTTTCAGAATGTTGTGAATGTTCGGTTGGGTTATCATCTTCAGTAGTATTAGGTAAGAGATGTTTCTGATACTAGGCTAACTGTGTCTTTTAATTCTGAAGGTAATTCCTGTTTGAGCTTCTTTGATATTAGATTGTGAACTTATTTTTTAGTGATCTGGTGGTTAGGTGTAGATAAATTGCATATATGTCGGATAAAAGTGAATTAATGTCCAAAGTAATTTACTTTGCTTCTATTATAAGGTTACTACCTGACGGGTAGTTCTCAAGAAAGGCTATGAGATTATCTGGTGGAGTAGAGAAGCTTTGTCGGTTGTTGGTGTAAAGATCCTTGATTATTTGATTTGATGGATCTGATATTTTGGATTTATCTGTGGGATCCATTATTGACTTCTCCTTCACGTATTTTGTGATTTTTCTGTTAAGTCTTTAGGACGAGGCACCAATCATGAGTTTTCAATTTGAGAATTAGATATAAGTTAGTCAAGAGGGTGGGAGTCCGGTGCGCTAAGTGGGCCAAAAAGTGCTCTTTTTGTCCCTGTATACGTTCACCAGATAATTGTTCTAAAGTAGGAGTTGATGAGGTTTTTGTTGCCGATGATTGTTCACCGGCAGATTGAGGAACATTGGTGTTTTGACAATTTGTACAACGTGCACCTGTTTGGCCAATTTGGTTACAAATAAAGCATTCCATTCTATCAGTAAATAAGAATATACGGTATGGTATGGTATGGAATATAATTCAATATAGTATATGTCAATATACTAGTGATGTCTGAAGCTCATAATTTTTGGTAGGTGGAATTATCTATACTTGTCTTCGAAATGACAGGATATGACTATACTCATCTCCTTGAATTCCAGCTTTTAAGAAAGATTATGAGGAATTAAGGGACAGACATTCGAAATTATAATACGTTTTGCTGGAGTAACTAACCTACTAATAGAGTCGAATAGTTTTAAGTTTTCTTCTGAGTGATAAATAATCGCTTGCTTCTTTTTATGAAAGGAAGGCTTGGGTCTAGATTTCATAGCAGCAACGTAAGATGTGGGTGTTAAAGATTCAGTGTTACTTAATGTAGGCATCGCTGTGGTATTGACTGTAAATTTATTATTCATAATTTTATTGGTTTGGTAGCCAAAATCAATGGAGTGATCAAGATTAATGTTTATATTTCTCCTGGAATGGCCGCAAATAACAAACTCATATTGTAAAATTTGTTATCTATATTGATTTATAAAAAGCCTAGAGCTCTTGGCAGAACTAACTGCTTTCTTATCAGTAGGTTGATAACAAAATTCTGGACAATTCTTATATTCAAATATTGCAATACTTGCTAGTTGCCTGGAATACGTTGTATGCGGCAATAAAGAAAATATCACCAATCTGTACACAAATGTTTGTTTATTACTATTTGTAATTAAATACTAATAAAACTGGTATTTAAGGTAATAAGTTGCAAAAATCGACACTAATTTACAGTGCGTTACGTAAACGTTCACACTCTATATAATAGGCAAGTCCTATATTTGCAATTGTTAGTTATACTTTTAAGAATAAAATAAATTTGTGTTATTATATTATTTATTAACTTTTAGCTTCTGGCATGCATCGCAGCAGAGAAGCAGGAAACACGTTCAATAGAAATCGAAAATGCATTAGATGGCATTTTCCGATCATTTATACCCGCAGAAAAGAGATCTGTCGATGCCCAAATAGGTATAGATGTTAACAACACTGTAGAGAAGCTTGTGGAGGCAGTAAGTGAACTCATACACATCAACGTAGAAGTAAATAATAATCCTCGAAGTCGAGATGTATCTCTCAAAGCTGCCCGAGATGTTGTTTTCGAGATTACTTCAAACTTAAATGAATTCATAAAGTTTATACTCAACTACTTCCTTACCAATTTACAACAAATGGTTGGTCAGCTGATATTGTCGCCTGTACGATCATTACTGGACAGTCTCCTGAACTGGCTTTTGCCATGTGGTGTCACTTGCGCAGTTTTAGCTGATTGAATATTTGTTGTTTAATTAAGACATAATTAATAATTTAGGGATGATTTTAAAAAGGCCATTCAAATTTAAATAAAAAAGTAATGATATTAATTGTTTTTATAATTTTTGGCTCATTATTCCTTATATTATCCTTGCCTTTATACCTATCCTGAGTTGGCTCCAAGATTACATTTCTTCATATGTTAATATCTCTTTCACAGACCTATCTTGTTTAAACACCTCCCACCAGTTATTCTTCGGTCTTCCACTCGTACTCCTTTCAGGCACATGACTCTTAGCACTTCTTTCTGACTGATTATGATTTTAAACTTACACGCATCCTAATTATCTTAACTTATCATCTCTTATCTTGTCATTAATGAATGCCACATTTATACTTTCCTAAAAAATTAATGCTTCTGTTATTTCTTTTTTCATTTTTTATCACTTTACCCAAGTATCCAAATATTTTCATTGCTGCAATTAGCCGTATAGAATTTGCATTTCAGTTTCATTGGAAGTTTTCTTTCGCACACCACGCCATCCGCGTCCTTCTATTTCATTCAACCCTCTCTAATTCTACTGCTTGCATATCCATCTCTTTCCTCATTCATCTGCAATACCGACCCTTCCTAGATATGTAAAACTATTATTATTAGATAAGGAGCTACATCTTATGTATATAATATAATATATATATATATATATATATATATATATATATATATATATATATATATATATATATATATATATATATATATATATATATATATGTATATACACACATGTCCAAGAGTTTGGAATACGTACAAATAATATATCTACGCCTATGTTGGTTTTAAAACTGTTGTTGATATTCATTCTAGAGCGTTTTTAAATGATAATGATAAAAAACTTGAATTGTTTTTGTATGATTTTGGTCACATTTTGACAGATCTAGAAAAAAATTTTATAAGGTACCATAAGCCAAAACTTTATATTTTTTGAGTTATTCGTCGTTTATAATAGGAGGTTCCATTTAAATAACAAAGTTGCTGCTACTTTCAAGTATAATCAAAAGTAGCATGTCTGTCAAAATATTTTCTTTAAGTTCGCCATAGCCATAACTTGTAACCCCCATATAACAATTTTCATAAATATTATCACAAAAACAGACAGATCTTTATATTCCTTTCCTAGTCGTTCTCAAGAAAACCCTTTTTTGAGAACAATTTCCGGAGTGGAAATCGAAACGTCAAATTCGTTAATTGAAAATGTGATTTTCATCACAATCACAACCAATAATTGTGGCTTAATCCCATAAAAAACACAATATTTAACAATTTTTCTCCGGAGAACATTGCGAAAAAATAATGCTTAATGTTAGGTAATAAATAAAATTATTTTACTCTAAATTTAAATTTCTTAGAAAGGCTTTTTAACAGAAACAAGTGCATGATCAGTAACAAGTATTCCACCAATAGCTCTTATTACTGCTAGTATTCTTCTCCGCATACTTGCAAGTAAATTTTGGACACTCATCCTGTGCAGCAAGCCGAAGCTGCTCTATTGTATTTGAAACGGGATTTCTCTGTCGTATGCACTATTTTAACTGAGTTCACATGATCTCTATTGGATCTAAATCCGGGCTAAATTGTGGCCAATCCAATCTTCGAATTTGGACCTCATGAAGAAAATTACTCACTACGGCAGCGGCATATAGTCGAGCATTATGGTGCATTAACATGAATCTCCCATATACAATGTAACAACATATGGCAAAACATGATCTTTCAGGCCTTTTTTAAGGTAAGAGTCACCTGTCATTCATCCAATCACTTCTACAAGTGTGGTAAGTCTCTCCCAACTGATTACCAGTATTATGCCACCACTTTCAAAACTAACGGTCTGGGCGAGTTTGCAGGTGACAAATTGTTTTCCAACTCTTCCGTAGACGTGGTTTCGAACATCTAACTTTCATAATAGAATTCTAGTCTCGTCAGTAAAAAGAACACTTTTCCAGTTGTCGATATTCCACTGAATAATGTGTTCTTGCAAATTCTAAACGACGAGCTTTATGATTTTGTAGAAGACGTGGAACTTTGGCAGGGCATCTAGGCTTTAAGTATGCTTTTTTAAATCTTCGTCTAACTGTTTTTGAACTCAAATTAACTTGTCGAACATTTAGTAGCTCATTTCTGAGGTGCATCGAGATGTCAATGAGCTATTTTGTGTAGAATTAAGAACCAAAAAACGGTCACCAATTGCGGTTGTGTACTTTTGACGGACTTCGTACAAAATATCATGTCTCGTGCTACCTTTTTACAGAATTCGAAACTGTAGATTAATTTCTCCTAAGACGTCGTGCAATATCTTTGTGTGTATATCCTTCCTCGTACAAAATTACACCTCGTACAAAATTATAATCTGTGATGCTTGTGATTAATCGCAGTGTAGAGTTGGTAGCATACTTGTTTTAAACTCAGTTAAATTAAAACAATATTTGATTAAAATTAATAAATTAAATTTAATTAAATTAAATTTCTTTACGCGAAGAAGGTTTTTTATGATAAAATGCACGAATGACATTAAACGTTGAATAAACGTCAAAATAAACGATAAAATATTTCAAAACAATTGATTACAACAGCCTATACGAGTAATATCAGTCTATCTAAAGGTATTTCGAAATTATAGTTACTACAAAAAAATTGGAAAATTCCAAAATATTCGATATTTTCGTCCATGAGTATATATATATATATATATATATAATAAAGTTTTATTTTGAGGTTGCAGTCATTAATAGGGCAGGATAAGTGAAACTCTGTTCTTTTATCTAGCTTTCGCAAAATTTATTTGATTCTTCAGGATATGCTAAAATATGGTATCAGTAAATACAATGAAATTAGAATTAAAAAACATTGTATAAAATTAATATAAAAACTTACAACATGAGGTTAATCTATTAAATTTTTAAATTGAGAAAACATTAAAACTTAACTTATTCAAATTATATATTTATGTAAGTACAATATTTTAATTTTATTTAAAATTAAAATGTCAATTTAAAAATTTAATGGATTAACCTCATGTTGTAAGTTTTTATATTAGTTTTATACAATGTTTTTTAATTCTAATTTCATTGTATTTACTGATACCATATTTTTAGCATATCCTGAAGAAGCAAATAAATTTTGCGAAAGCTAGATAAAAGAACAAAGAGTTTCACTTATCCTGCCCTATTAATGACTGCAACCTCAAAATAAAACTTTATTTTACATAACGTGTCAGTCAATAATACCTAACTACTTTATATATATATATATATATATATATATATATATATATATATATATATATATATATAAAGTAGTTAGGTATCACTCTTGCAGAATGTCCATGAGGTGTGTGGCACGTTGCGCCGTCCTCTTGACATCTTATTGGTGTCGATATCATTCAGGCCAAAAAAAGTTGGTAATCATCGACCTCTAGCGCTCGCCGTTGACGGTGATGGACTGACCAACATAAAAAAATGTGAATGATAAACAACAATATGTCTAGACCTAATACGATGTTCACGGACCAAATAAATATAAACAGATCGACGAACACGAACTTTGATGCTATATGCGGCATAAATCATAAACTGTTTAAAGATATCATCGGAAATATCGGAAATATGAACTGATGACGCTACAACCCCAAAATTCACAACAAATATTGTCTTTTTTGAGATGCATTGGACACTTCTGGATCCCATCTGAATTAGCTATCGGTCCAAATTCGACAACCTCGTTTTTTGACGTATCCATTCATTCAAACATGAGTCTCACCCCTGAAGATGATTTTTTGATGAAAATTAGGATCAGTTTCCAACTGCTGCAGAGCTCATTCAGTAAACACACGTCGTTGTCTTTGGTCGTTTACCGTCAGCTCCTGGGTCAGTTAATTTTTTTATGAGCACAGGCCTAAGTCGATGCAAACATTCGCTAGGATGTGGTCTCTGAAAGACCGAGTTCTTGTGAGCAACGTGAAATAGACTGCCGTGGATTCTTCTGAACACTCTCATGGACGGCGGCAATGTTTTTGTCAAGTCTTGCGTTTTATCTTCATACAGATGTGTACTGAACCAGTACTCTCAAATTTATCTACCACCCTGCGTGTATGGCAGGACGATTATGTCGACCGCAAAATAGGCGAAGTGCGTGGAACTTTGCTCGAACGGAACATTCATTTTGAAAAAACAATTTTATCGTACCCGTCCATGGTCATTTCTAAAAACAGACTGTCTAAAAGGTAGCCAATTTGACAGATGTAGCTTCACCAATATGGACGCTACCAACTGTCAAAGTTCCTATTATAAGACCCATACCACTGGTTTTATAATAGTGTTGTTACACATTAATACCTTTACTAACGTATAGTGTTGGAAACAATATCCAACACCTATGCAAAATTGTTGGGACGCTTTGTAGGTTCGGGTGCGTTCGGTCGGAAGTGACAGTGTTTTTCCCTGCCACCACCAGCAAGTGAAAAGTGACATTCTGCACCAGTGCATCATTACGCATAACGCCATTTTTAGTTGGTGTTTGATACAAGGTAAAAACGTACATTAGCTCTGGCTTGTTGCCGTCTAATTATCATAAGTGAATGGTGAATAATCTAAATTAAATAAAGGTGTAACTACAGTAAGTTTCTTGTAGTCTCATTTCAATTAATTAAGTATACAGTCCGCTAACCATCAAGGCTTTAGTTGTGTGTCTCGTACATATAGGAAGTTCTAAATTTTGACTCTGGTGTTATATCAGAGTTCAGAGATAGGCAGAATCCTTAGTTAATGTTTTAGGCAAATATGTTTGCAATTTAAAAAATAAATTAGCATACCTGCAAAAAAACAAGAAATACGGAGCAGTTGTCAACATTACCATCACAGCGATAGTATCTTCAATTTCATCCAGACATGCTATTCGCAGCATAGGTATGAATAGCATCAATATACAAGAAAACAGAAACATAACACGTGATGGAGATGTTTTCTGAAATATAAATATATATTAAATTATTACTTAGAAGTATTTTTTTATTACAAAAAATTTAACGTATTTTAATTACATATCTTAAATTATATAAAGTAGACGTATTATTATAGTATATTTCTTTCTAAGGTACTCAATTTCGAACAAACAATAACAATTGCTAAAGTATGGTTATAATAAAGCTTAATGGTTTCATGCTATCTTTAGTAGTGAATCATCTATGTTATAGTATATCAAGACATTGAATTCTGTAGCGATTATTTTGTTTGACTCCCACTTTCCTAAAGTCGCTCCAGGAACGCAAATCAAAAATTTTTTCAATATAATTTTAAAGTCATCTATACTTCATCTAATTTAAGGACACTAAAGACGAACAATATGAAAAATTAGAAGCTTTTGAGCTCTAGGTATATAACAGAATATTAAGAACTTGTATTATTAAGTTATTATGATGTTATTATGAAAGAAGACAAATATCAATTATTCTGACTTTTAAGGCGAAAAAAGATAATTGGAAGAAGATTGATGAGAAGTAGAAGACATTCAAAACTTTAACATCACCAATGGCCATCTAATTAGAACAGCAGTCTCGGAAATATGTATGTATAACCTTTATGATTGCCAACTTTGGAACAAAGGAAATAAGAAGAATTAGTATGTATCGTGATTTGTAAAATATAAGGACCCTACTAAATTTTGATTATTTTCTTTACTTTTATCGAGACGGTTTAATTGAAGTTATATTTAGATAAATTAGATTGCGTTGACCGCAATGTGTTTGATAATTATTGAATTTAAATACATTAAAAAATAGAAATTGAAGAAAAAGAAAAAAGTAACTTACAAGATTCTCAAAAAACATTCTTAGCCCCAGAAAACCCGCCTCGCGAAAAGCAGCCACCAAATATAAAAATGATCCAATTGTTATAGCTACTTCAGCACCTATCCTTATTTTAGCTTCCAATGAATCGAGCTGCATAAGTCTGCATTCCTCTCTTAAATTTTCCCACCACTCTTCGACGTCATAATCATCATCATTTCCATTGCCTCCTATAAATAAACGTTTTAATTGTTAATAAATCATTGCAAAAATATTAAAATAATAGCACTTAGTTATTTTAGTAGGTACCTCAAAGTTTAAAAAAATGCACAGAGACTGTCAGAAAATAAATTAAAATTTTTGTCAGATCTTATATAAGAAAAAGTCAGGTGCATTTCTAACAGAATATGTTAATACGAAAGTGTGTTAAACGCCTGTAAGACACGGGCATAAGACCACAATGTCATTTCTTAAAATGACAAATACAGGTCGACTGTTCTTAGACATTACAAAGAGAAGGAAAGCAGAATACTTCAGCCACCTACTTAGATAACCTAAATACCATCTACTTCGCATTATAATACAAGGAAAAGTGGAAAAAAATTGATACTCCGAACGAAACTCTCATGATTGCGTAATATTGGGCAATGATGTGGTCCTACGATGCCAAAATTATTTCCTGTTGCAAAGTGGCGGCTCGTAACATAGCTCTTCTATTAAGACATTTAATTATAGAAACGGTGCCATTATTGTTTCCCTGCCAATGTTGTTTCGTGATGGACCGGGAGTGGCATCATTGACAAAAGGCACCACATTATATTCTATATTAATTACTGTTAAACTGGGAATAAGTCACAATTAAAGATAAAAATACGTTTATTGACGTTTCAATTTCCACTTCGGAAATCGTTCTCAAAATCCGAAGTGGAAATTGAAACGTCAATAAACGTATTTTTATCTTTAATTGTGGCTTATTCCCAGTTTAACAGTAATTCATTTACAATGCCACAAGAAAATAGCTTCAGAACAATATTATATTCTATAGTTGCTAAAGACCACGCACTAGGTACTGGCTTCATTATAAATAAAAAGATTAAACGCCTCGTAAGAGACTTTCGTGCTATGAACTCTAGCCACAAAATTTTGCACGGGACGGGACGGGACAAAATTTTATTGATTTGACAGCCAGAATCTAATAATCAATATTGCCAATATCCGAGAGCTACAATTCATTTTTTAAATGAACTTGATGATCAGTGAGATAAATCTCGAACGCCCGTTTTTGTCTACTCTGAAGAAATAGTTTCATTTTTTGAAAATACTAAACATGGAAAACAAAACAAACGATGTAGTTTATCACACACGTACAACCACGAAGTTATTCTATATTGTTCAACTTTAAAACAACGTTTTAACTTTTTGTCTCTCATAACACATTCTTGTACCAAGTTTATCTCTGTCCGAAGTGGTACATTCTTTTTTATAAAAAGTATATCTTCAAAACTATTTGCGTTTTCTTTTATAAACTCCACTGAATAAGGGTCCAAACTAAAACCAGAGAACTACAGCATTCAGTTCTGATCTAGTGTGAGTACAGTTGCCTTCAGAGTTATTTTAGATTCCGCTAGTTTTTTGTAGATAAGAACTTTGAACAAGAATAGTATAAGTTCTGCATGAAATATAATTTTGGTAACACCCATCTATTATGTAATAGGCATGTTTTCTTGTGTTTTCTTAAACAAAAACTCTATATCTTTTTCGCATGTAATGATATTGCAGTTGGAAATTCTAACATTGTAGTGTGCCTAATATGGAATACTTGAGGGTATTAAATATGGAATATTCGATATTTGGAACATTTTTTTGTCATAAAATGATATAACAAATATATCTATCTATTATGTTACTTATCGAGTTTCGTAATTAGTTTTGTTTGAAGATTACATTTCTATTTGTTGCAGGAAAATGCCACAGAAGAAGAAAAGTGATAAACCCTGTAGAAAGTCGTGGAACAAAGATGACATGAAACGTGCTATTCAGGCCGTTAGGATCAAAGAAATGGGATATAAAAAAGCAGCAGACACCTTTGGAATACCCCGTACCACTTTATTTCGATTGGCATCTAAACCTAATGATGCTGTAGACAAGAAATTAGGTAGACCCCCTCCCCTGTTTTACCAGAAAATTTAGAAACAAAATTGGTAGAATATTTACTTTTAATGGAAAAGAAGTTCTTTGGATTAACTAGACGGGATGTTAAACATATGGCTTTCCAGTTAGCTGCTGCTAATAACTTACCAAATCCATTTTCGAAAGAAACTTAAAGTGCTGGCAGAAAGTGGCTAGATTTATTTCTAAAAAGACATAAAAGTGCGATTTCTATAAGAAAGCCAACCGGAACCTCAATTCATCGGGCTAAAGGTTTCAATAAGGAAAATGTTAGCCACTTCTTCGATCTTCTGGAGTTAGCATTCGAGAAGCATCAATATCCTGCAGATAGAGTTTTTAACGTTGACGAGACTGGGTTGTCTATCGTCCAATCGAAGATACAGTCTGTTCTGGCTTTGAGGGGTGCTAAGCAAGTTGGCTCGATAACGTCTGCCGAGAGGGGATCTCTAGTCACAGCTGTTTTATGCATGAGTGCAGGGGTAACTTTTGTTCCACCATTACTTATTTATCCTAGAAAGAATATGAATATTTTGCTACAAAAAGGAGCCCCTCCTGGATCAAAAATTGTGTGCCATCCGAGTGGCTGGATTCAAACAGAAATATTTACAGAATGGTTCCGGCACTTCATAGAAAAAACAAGACCATCACAAAGTGATCCAATATTGCTAGTTTTAGATGGGCACCATTCGAATTGTCGCAACTTACAAGTTATCGATTTAGCAAGGCAAAATTTTGTGGAGATATTGTGACTGCCCCCACACTCTACCCATTATATGCAGCCGTTGGATAAAACTTTCATAGGACCTTTAAAATCTCACTATAGTGAGGAATTATTCTTCGAATCAATCAGAGGGCTGTCACACCTTTCGACATCTCTGAATTATTTGGTAGGGCTTATTTGAAAGTCCAAACTGGGGCAATTAGCCGTTAATGGCTTCAGGAAAACCGGCATATATCCCACAAATCGCAATGTTTTCGAACACCACGATTTCCTTGCTGCTGAAGAGGCATCGCAATCTGACACTCCATTAAACGAAATTTATGATGAAAATGGAACTACTGACCAAACAAAAAGGAATACGTTTATCGAGCCTCATCAAATATCACCTTTGCCGATATTAAGTAAGAAAAAAGGACCTCAAAGAGGAAGAGTACCAGGAAAAGCTGCAGTTATAACCTCATCCCCATACAAAGAAAACCTAAATAATTCAATAAATTCTCCTTTATCGAACAAATCAAATAATATGGCAAAGCGAAATGTGATATTCGATCTATCCCATTCACAACCATCTTGTAGTGGTGTCAATATTCCCAAATCAACGATGAAACGATCACATCGTAAAGAGTCCTCTTAATCGGAGTCTGACGTCGAGAGTTTAGATGACAAATCATCTGACGATAACATCACATAAATAGGAATAACAGATTTAGGAGATCCAGATGCAGTGTGCTTTTATTGCGATGGAAGTATTTAAACGATGTTCGAGGCGAACACTGGATACGCTGTCTGTCCTGTCAGCAGTGGTGCCATGTTGATTGCGCAGGGGCAGAAACGGAAACATTCATATGTGATTTCTGCAAAGAAAATTAAAAAACTGCAAGGTACCTTTCTCTTAAAGATTTAATATTATTTATAAGAATATGAAAAAAGTTTGAGTTGTCAATAAATATTTTTTCTATAATTTTGTTTTATTCCATATTTAGAACATACATCCACATTAGTGTTTCATATTAGGTGCATATTCCGTATTAGGTACAAAAACGTGTCAATGCTGTAAAAGTTTTTTTGTGAAAAACTTATCGAATTGATTGAATCCTCAGATAATAATTCCGATGAACGAAATTATGATCCAATTTAGCTTAAAGAATTAGATTCATTTGATCGAAAACCACCTATTGACAGCAAAAAATAAGAATGGTATTCCATATTTGGCGCCTTTCCTCTACCTGAGAATGTGAGACAGATGTTGTATATATTTTTGGACAGAATTGCGAGATTATCACGTACTCATTTCCCTTCTCAACATTATTAGAGTCAACATCAGTCATATAATATATATTTGTTATTAAAAATAACTCTCTCATTTTCACTACAGAATGTTGTATCATAGTGCAAAATAAAGTTTTTCAATTCGTAAGTGTTTTTAAGTGCAATTCGACAAGTTTGATTTGAACATAAGGTAACACATTTTATTTATTTATTATCACTCGAACCAAAATCGAAGGTACTGCCCCAACAGGCAGTGGGCAACATATAGGAAGGAAATTAAAATCCCCGGGTGTTCCATTATTAGTTACACTATTTAGTAAATATATTTAAGTAATTTTGTTGTTCAAACTTCTGAATGGTCTTGAAAGTAAGTATATAGGTTCCTCTTGGTACAAGGAAGGACCTTATTCAATTTGGCATTAATAGATCAGAGATCACCAAAGCTCCCAACCTCAAAACTTTTGATAGAGAGGATTAAGTCTAAAAACTTGGTATGTATATAATACGTCTATGATTAATTTTTTACTCAAAAGGTTTTTTGAATTGATATAAGGTTGAATGCTCGAATAACTGAACTTTCAAAAATTAAAGGCAGTTATATCGAACACAATTTTAATAATCAAATCTTGTCAAGTACTTTCCTTTTTTACAGCATCATCAGGGGCATTTCGTCAAATCTGGGCTATCCAGCAAGCGCAGAATGTAATAAACATGAAATTAAATATAGATTGTACCTACATAACACTACACTAAAACAAGGACAAACAGTTTTAAGTAATATTAAACTGTTTTTCCTTGTTTTAGTGTAATGTTATGTACAATCTATGTTTAATTTCATATTTATTACTTTCTGCGCTTGCTGGATAGCCCAAATTTGACGAAATGCCCCTGATGATGCTTTAGAAAGTCAAAGTACTTGGACAAGATTTAATTATTAAAATTGTGCTCTATATAACTGCCTTTAATTTTTCAAAGTTCAAAAGGTTTAGTTTAATTTTAGGACCAGTTTTGTCAGAAATTAAGATCTCTAAGAAATCCATCATGTGTATCCACTAGATTCTGTCAGTATCTGTTAGCATTAAGAGCATTGCTTGATTAGAGTCTAATAAAAAAAATATTACTATTTGTATAATTTATTTTATTTAGTATAATAATCCGAAATGAAGGAGACGTTTAAATGGAGTCTTTCATTACATTCAAAAATGCTGTCTAACTACATAAGCTTTTCGTGAGAGGTTTATATGTATAGCCATCATAAAAACTTACCTTTGGATTTTATCTTTTTCAAAGTTTCATTTATATGCAATATAACATTTAATGAAGTATTAACAGTACTATTAGGCTGACTATGAATAGTGGCATTCGTGGAATTTTTCGCCGCTTTGGATGCTTCTGGAGGCCCCGGTCTAAGTGTAAATGCAAAAAGTGATATTATGAAGTAGAAAGCAAAAGTAAAAAATTGCCTGTAAAATTTGAATTTAACAAAAGTGTTCCACTTGGCATTTAATAAATCTATCAAGAGTCCATCTAATAGTTCCAAATGTTCATCTTTATCCTAAAATAAATATATAAATAATATTAATATATAAAAATTTTTCGAATCGAAAAAACACATATACTTTTTCTATGAAATTTCATGTAAAGAGTATCATGGAGTTTATATTGCTCATAACAAGCAAACAGCAAAATAAATATGTTGAACAAAAAAAATTTTAAAATTAGAACAAACCACAAAAAATGAGAAATAATATGAATCAATATACATCAAACACTGTTCAAGCGCTATAAATAACAAAAAACCATGTACATTTATTAAATAAAATTTATTTTAACATTTTGTAACCGAGGCTGTACGAAATACCACAAAAACATCATACAAATTTCATTCCGATAGACCACCAATAAAGAAATTAATTGATCCGTTACCAGTAGAAACAACCACATCCAAGTTTTTTTTAATATTTGAATGGTTTTAAATATAAGTTATAATATATTATATATATATATATATATATATATATATATATATATATATATATATATATTTTAAATATAATATTTAAATTTAAATAGTTTTGAATATTTGAATATATATATATATATATATATATATATATATATATATATATATATATATATATACCTATGACTGTTTATTGTATTTCACCCCAAATAGTCTAATTTACGTTTTATAATAAGCTTTTCTATATTTTTGTAAATCCTATTATAAATGATTATAATCTCGATAAAGTTCAGATATAGTTTTGATAAAGACATGGAATATTTGTTGGGGCTAAGGAACCCCTTAAGCTGGTTTAGACCTGTTGATTTATTGCAGGTTCTGTTGATTTCTCAGATTCTCCATTTAGTAAATTCCTCTTAATAATCCCAAGGAATATGCCGAATATGGGAGACCTATAAAAGGTTTTGTTGCACTGAATTTAGCTTGCTGATCTGCTTGCTCGTTTTCTGCTATTCATTCATGCTCTGGCACCTAGAAAAATTCATTCTTATTCCTGTCCGTCAGCTGGTTAGAGGATTGATATTCGTCATTCGTAAAGCATTTTTGATCAGAACCTAGTACTTTGCAGTACTTTTAATGCGGCATGGCTGTCTGACATGATACATGTCTTTTATTTGCATCGGTTTTGGTTTAACATATGTTGGACTACCATATGAATGGCATGGTCACTTGTAGCTGCGATGTTCAATAAGGGAGTGGAAGAGAATTTTCAAAAGACCTTTTACGTTAACTTTTTGAAATCCCTCCTCATATAGCGTGAGTGCCTGTTTTATGACTTCCTCTTTAATTACCACCGGAAGGGAATCCTACAAATCAGGATCTCCTTGGCGGCTATTGGTGTTATTTCCATGGCACCTATGGTGCTTAAGCATTATCCTTTGCACTATTGCCAATTTCCCTTTCACTGTACTTTGATCTACATTTCCTTCACTAGACAACAGATCATCGAGCAAAAAGACAATAGAGGGAATGTAAAGGTAGTGGGGGCAAACATATTGTTAGACAGGAAGTGCGATCTTTAGAGGCCACATTAAACAAGGAAAGAGAGTCTATCTCCTTGTTTGACATCAAATTTAGTTGGGTTATGTTATTGTTTGTCCCAAATGTCACATGAAATCTTATTTATATTAAAGTTTTTTAACAATTGTGTCGCATTTTAGACTATTATCGTTAATAATTAATTAAAACTTTCTCGTCTAAGACACATTCTGAAAAATATTATATAGCTACTGTTGATAAGTGTCGGAAAATTTAAATTTCGCGCATTCGCATTTCCGGATATGTCCGCCATCAGAGGCCACTTTTTTGGTCTCCTTTTCATAAGGATTAGATTCCCTCTTTTGTCTTATTGCTCGATGCAACAGATGCATAGAAGATGACAGATCTAACTACCTGCTTATATATCCAGATATTTGCTTTGGGGTTCAATCCTCACATTTTTCCAACCATCTGGCAATATGACCATGGTGTTTTTAAGGCCTTATTAGTCGTTTTGGAAAGGTGACTCCCCTGTTAATTTTTTGGTCAGAATCACCCCTCCAAGTATTCCCCCTTCATTGAGAGTGGAATAATAGGTTCATTAAGTATAACACTAGGAATAATGAAGTTTCTTCGTTTATTAAATGGAACTATTGTATTTTTTTGGATTGACATTCACGCTTTGCATTCTCTTTCCTATAATAGTCACAATGATAGTTATGTCATCGGTATAGTGAAGAACAAGACAGCCTGCTTTATTTAGGTCGTTCAACATTTTTTATCTACTACCAGCGACCACAGTCGGCTACATGATAGTACTTCCCCTTGCAAGCACCCTCCTATAGTGCCATCTTCATGTGTGGCACTACCTGTACTAGCACTGACCTCTCTACCTGCAGCATGTCTTTAGTCCACTGGATAATTCCTTTGCTAACCCCTCTATTTATGAGGGAATTTTTACAATTTAATGTAGAGCTGATAGCGTTGATTTGCCGTTTTGATATGCAAACTGGTCTTTATGGTATATAAAGGTTTATCGTTCAAAACCTTCATTCTGATATATTAGTCCAGCAGTTTCTCTATTGTTTTGAGCATAAACGAGGAAAGACTCATTGGATGATGAGTTTTTTCCGCTGGTTTCACACTAGATGATGAGGCGCTATACTATATATGATGGCATCTTCGGCTCCACTCCGGAAAAGTATACTAAGGTAAAAAACTCCACTTTCTTGTTACCAGGTAGTCCCAGCTCTGCCATTATTGTTACTCTATCTTGCAATAATGTAACGAGTAGATTAAAGACCAGTAACGGTATAAAACAACGTAGGCCGCAAGAGAGAATCGAGTTTCGCAAGAGGGCTGATCTGGTGGGAACTCCCGCTTGGTCACTTCCCGGTTTTTGTTGGATCAAATGTTGATCGATCCGTCCATCTCTATCCCAGATAACCCCTTCTCTTTAGCGTGTGTTTATATTAACACATAGTATTTTTCTTTCGATTTTTATGACAATAATTGTATTTATTTACACAAGTATAAACAATGGGTCATAGCGTCGTCGGTACCGTGGTCGCCAGAAATAACATTTTAATTTTGATTTTACATATTACCTAGGATCTAATTTTATTTTGTTATTTGTTTATTTCGAATATATTTTTATCTAAATTAAACCTGTGTTTTACTGAGTCTGCTGTTTAAAAAAACTACTCGTCACAAGCTGCTTCTCTAACTTCATAGTAAACAGTGAAATAATCATAGCAATGATGCTTTTGTTAATATTGATTAAAACGCTCGGTTTTAGAGCTACTGAAATTTTGTTTCTAGTCCACATATACGTCTAGTCCATACGCAAACCTATGGCATAGGGCAGCAGGGAACCTCTCGCATGGTGGAGGTTCACCTGCTTAAAGTTATAGCTCAATGAGTTCATGTGAGCTTTTTCTGAGTTTATAGATTTTTAATCAATGACCAGGACTAAAAATGTTACTGTACGTCTTATAAGTCGAACTTGGGCTTGACAAGCTTGACAGCTTGACACTGCCATTTTAATCCCTTCTGCAGAACTTTTATATGAGACTTTCCTGGGTCTCCTTGCCTCCAGTTTTTTAGACTCTTTAGGCAGGACAGCCGATGTACTAAGCATTCTCTGTCTTTGACTTTTTTGCCTCCCTCAGACTTTCCTGCTGGTGTCGACAATGTTTTGACGTCGAAGGTTGGGGCTTTGCTTTTCCAGGAACGGAAAACTCCTCGTTCTTTTGTATTGCCAACTTCAACTTTTCATATCATGATTTTACCAGGAACTTGAAGCGTTTGTAGGCTGCTTCACTAACACTTTCCTTGGGCACGTCTATTTTTAGTATATCGGTCTGTGTGACCAGTTTATCCACTATCCCTTCTTCCAATTCTGGTGCACTGCTTGGGCTTGCTTCCCTTGATTCACATTGTTTCTACGAATACCTAGTATGAGTGTGTAAGTCGTTCACCATGTTAGAGACCCTATTGACACAGGCAAACATGTGAATGAGACCATGCGTGTGCGTCTCGAATTCACCTACTAGCGACTGCACATCCTACAGCCATTCATCCTGTAGGCGTATGCAGGGTTCACCTAAGAATTAGGTTTTCCGTGTTATACCCCATAGAACTAGGTTCCAATTTGAACTTGGCTATCTATCACTCCGGCCTAACAAAGTGAGAGATGCTCACCACCATATGACTTAAACGAGTCAGGTTGGATTTACCCACGTGCACGATAGAGAAGGTGACTCCGTACACAGTGGGTCGGGTTAACTAAAAGGATAAAACCGTGCTTAAAGGTACGATTTCGGCTCATCCTGTTCGAAGTATATACAGAAGCTAGAATAAAGCACTGTAAATATATATAGTTTTTTTGCATTTCGTTAATCCTTTTAATGTATAATTTATAGTGGTTATATTTGAAAGTATTATAAATTTATTTAAACTGAAAGAAGTGACATTTGTTTTAATGATAAATAAAAATACCTACCCCAAAAACTACTAAATTTAAAGCAGAAATTTTACATATATGTCCTGTTTCCATATCTATAGTATCTATTTGGGATAAAGGATACGCAGCACAAGTTATACTTCCTAAAACAAGATAAATATTAATATAAAAAAAAAATAAAAAAGGAGAAAGGTCGACATAAAATGTAATATAAAACTGAATAATAAAGAATTTTTTTGTTGTAATTTGTCTCTTTCCCATTTGCGATGTATTAATTGTAGTTCGGATATTCAATCAGCGATTGTAGTGAGTCGTAGAAGTATATCAAAAGCATTTGTACCCCAAAATAAAATTAACAATTTAAATTTCTACATAAATAAATTACCAGGAGATTGAAGAATAAATTATAAATTAAAATACTTCCATAAAGAGAGAACAGGCAGTAGATATTAAACAAAAACTAGAGTTTAATTTAGATACCCCAAAGAATAAGTGTATGGCTCAGAAACAATATGAATACTATCAGTGGACATCGCCTCCAATCAGAAACAAAAAATGTTACCTAAAATTATAATTAAAAATGATGTATTAACAAATATCTATAGAAATAAAAATGAATAAAAAAAAAACCAAAATAAAAAAAGAAAAAAATCGAAGCTAGTAATAAACGGGTGAGAATCAAGGAAAACCATAAAGACACGAGACAAATAATAACAGCCCTGAAGAAATGAATAGGTGGCATGCAAAAGTTCACAGGTCACAATTCTTTTCTAGATGGCATCGATTGTATATTTATCATAGTAAAAGGTATGTAGCTAAGTATGTCAAATTGTGCAAAACCATAAAAAAACTCATGTAAATAGTATGACAAAAAGTACTAGTTCAGTGCAAACACTCACACGCCCACCAGTTAGATTCATTCAAAATCTCACACGTCCACTCAGTAAATGCGTTGATTGAATAACCCAAATTTGAGTTATTCAATCAACGGTAAATGGCAAAAGTAAATTTCGTCACGTGACTCTCAGTTGTTTCATTAAGCTTCTGTCTACAACCATGTCTTATTATTCACATGATCTTGTAGTAAATACATATTTTGCATGTTATTATTGTGATGTATCCAGGTTTATTATTGTTTCATTTTAACAATGGAGCAAAGTAAGCATTATGATTTAGTACTAATAGTTAATGATTTTAACAACGTTTTAACAGGGAACAAAGAAGCGGCATAATATCGTTTCAACGTCATCATAATTGCTGTGATGTGGCCCAGAAATCAATATATTCTAAACTATATGATGTTAATACGTTTAATTCGTGTAAACATAATACCTACTCAAGAATTTCAGTTTAGTAAATTTTGGCCTACAGACGTTTTGGGAGTTTCATAACAAAGTATAGACTACATCGATAGGTACATACGGTTCTCCCAAGTGAAACGTCGGCGCCCTCATTAGCTTATATGTTTGGACTAAGCCTATCAGCTCCTGACACCAAAAAGAAGTCACATATTGTTTAAGCAAGTTACACATTTAGTGGAGGACAAAGGTGGAGAAAGATTTTATAGGGCCTAATTAACTATCCACTTAATATACTGACGTATCATCGTATCTACTGTCCACTAATCGGTTAAGACATTCAATAATGTCATAATTCTATATTTAATAATTTCAAAATAATTATAACTTACATAGTTCATACAAATGTTATAATATAACACTTCAATCGCCACAGGAATTGAATTCATGTAGTCTGGAGTAATTATATATCGGAAAATCGATATGAGTTTTTAAACGATATACAAAAAATCACACCATGAATACACTCCGTCAAAAATAATCTTAAATAATATCTTACCTATTTGCCAATATATTTCTCTTTCCAAATTTAAAATATGAAAAAACATCTCGGTTCTTGCTAACTTCGCAGCTAATGTTAAAGGTGTCAAATTCTGATTGTTTCTAATGGAAAGGCTAGAGCCTACTTCATATGCCATATCAAAATGTTCCTATAATCAATGTATTTATTACGTATTTATAATATACACAATAATAAATATGTGATAAACAATATTTTAAACACGTTCTCCAATGAATTGGAATACTCGGAGACATTTGAAATAAACAATGGACTAAAACAGGGAGAAGCTCTTTCACCACAACTCTTCAACTTAGCTCTGGAGCACATAATCAGAAGTGCAAGAATCGAAAAACCGAATACAGTATTTTATCGAGAAGGACCAAACTTACTACTGGCATTTGCAGACGATATAGATCTAATAGGAAACACGCGATTAAGGATGAAGGAGACTTTCGTAAGGTTTGAGAAGGAAGCAGAGAAGATGGGGCTCCAAATCAACGAAAGCAAGACGAAATATATGTATATGAGCCGCAATAACCAAAGCAGAGACAGAATCGGTCAGAACATTACCATCGATGACTTTAACTTTGAGCGTGTTAGAGAATTCAAGTATCTTGGAACAACAATAACTGAAGACAATAACGGATCACAAGAAATAAACAACAGGATTCAGGCCGGCAACAGATGTATTTTTGCCCTCCAAAACCTTATAAAATCAAAACAACTAACACGACGTACGAAGATACAGGTCTATAAAACAATCATACGACCCGTTGTGATGTATGGAGCGAAACGTGGACGATAACAAAGGCAAATGAAGAGAGACTACGTGTTTGGGAAAGAAAAATCCTAAGGAAGATCTTTGGTCCTGTGCTTGATGAAGCATCAGGACAATATAGGATAAGAACTAATAAAGAGCTTGAAGAACTTTACCCAGACGCCAACATCATAAAAGAAATAAAGTCTAGAAGACTCCAATGGGCAGTTCACCTCAGAAGACATTCTGACGAACGAACAGTAAGACTGGTGTGGGAGGAAGTCCCAACTGGAAGGAGACCACGCGGACGCCCTCGTCTTCGGTGGCGAGATAATATAGCAGGAGACCTAAGCACTATGGGCGTGGAGAATTGGATGGAGGTTGCTCAAGACAGAAAACAGAGTCGGCTAAAACCCACGAAGGGTTGTAACGCCACGGAGTAAGTACGGAGTACGTTCTCCAATCCTCAGACTTATTTGATCTCTATCTTTTCCTTTTCACTTACAGGATAAAATATAAAATAAAATGCCGTGGTTTCGTTGTAGAAATTAAAAGCCGCATTGAAGGTAATACATGGTCGTATCTACAATAAATGTGAGGAATACCTGGATGACACTCAGTTTGGTTTCCGTAACGGATTTGGAACGAGAGAGGCACTGTTTGGAATGAACGTACTTGCTCAAAGCTGTCGTGATATATCTGTAGACATATACTGTTGTTTTATTGACGTTCAAAAGGCATTTGATCGTGTTAAGCACTCTATATTGATCGAAGCTCTAAAAGACATTGGATGGACGGCAGAGATGTTCTAATAATTGCAAATTTATATTGGAATCAAACAACATCAGTTTTAGTAGATGGTGTGGAATCACAAGCTCTCAATATTAAAAGAGGAGTACGGCAGGGATGCCTCTTGTCACCCCTGCTTTTTAACGTTTACTCCGAAAGAATTTTCAGAAAAGCACTTTCTGAAAAACAAGAAGGAATACTTGTGAACGGCGAAGTCATCAATAATTTGCGATATGCGGACGATACAGTACTCCTAGCTTCTAGTCAAGAAGATCTGCAAACACTACTTGATAGTGTCGTTGAGAGTTGTAGGGAGGCAGGTCTGGATCTTAACATAAGGAAAACCAAAATACTCGTAATAAGTAAACAACAGAATATAAAACCGTCTATATTATGTAAATAATACCAAACTTGAGCAAGTTGATAAAATCGTCTACCTTGGACAGCAATTAAATTGTAATGCAGAAAATCACGGCGAAATTAGATCCAGAATAGAGCAGGCTAGAGCTGTTTTTAGAAGGATGTCCAAGGTGTTATGTAACAGAGACCTAAAATTGCCATTAAGGATCCGCCTACTTCGCTGCTACGTGTTCTCGGTCTTACTTTATGCTGTCGAGTCCTGGACTGTGAATAAAATCGATCTAAATCGCCTTGAGGCTTTCGAAATGTGGTGCTATAGAAGAATTTTAAAAGTTTCCTGAGTGGAGAAGATTCGTAACTCCACATTACTAGAACGTCGATATATATATATATATATATATATATATATATATATATATATATATATATATATATATATACATGCAATAACGATATGATCCCAAAGCATACTTAAGTAACTTACATCATAGCGTTTCATAATACTTATATTAGATACTAAAAATGTTTTCATTTACCTATAGGCTACAGAATATTTGTTTCATTTTTATAAAAGTACTCCGGACTTTTTCAACTCAGATTTTTATTCCAGCCTATTTATTAACACATTACTATAATAATCGATTATTAGTAATAAGTATCCACTTATATTTTTCGTCATGTGTATACATATCTTTTAAATGCATAAAATCGATTTTTTATTAGAATCAATTATTTGAATTTACTAGTATTTAGCGATAATCCGTGTCAGAAGTGATGCTTAAAGAATAAATCAGCGCTGTCAGCGACTATTTTATTATTATTTCATTGATAATATTAAAACTATTATATTTACCGACTTTTCCTTAATAACCAATAAATGCAACACGGTATTTCCGTTTGAATCTTGAGCATCTGGATCAGCTCCTCTAGCTAAAATTAATCGAAAACTTTCTTCTTGTCCCAAACAAGCAGCGAATGTTAGTGGGTATTCTCCCCAGTAGACGTATCTAGAACAATAATAATACTCTTTTTCAATTTCATGTTAAAATTAATGTTTAATGCTTTTATACTAAGTTTAAAAAGTATTGAAAAATTTAAGTACAAAATGAAAAAATATGGCACAACTATGCAGACCTGAGAGATAGATACCACCTGTAACGAAGTTGTTTTGAACATAAATTTTGGAAATACACAATATATCACCAATCTGGTATAAAGCGAAAATCTAAAAGTCGACTGCAAGGAAATAGGATTAGTTCATAAATTAGGTCATGAAATCGAAATTGCTAGGGACAACCAAACTGCTGAACTGCAAACAAGAATCTTCAAGAATATCATGCTAAATAATTTTTTGAAAAGAATAATTTGGCATGATATTATTGAAAAAAGAAGACGTTTGACTAATGTATTCTTACAGTCATGACTTACGGCGCTGAAACACTTTCTTCAACCCAGGTTACAGCAACCAAACTCAGAGTAGCCCAAAGGCGAATGGAACGCTCGCTATTTGGACTGACTGTCGGCGACAGAGTTAGAAACGAAGAAATAAGAAGAAGTACAGGCGTTACAGATGTTATAGAGCGTATAGCATGGCTAAAGTGGAACTGGGCAAGTCGTGTAGCCAGAATGAATGACGGGTGGTGGACCCAAAAAAATACAATTTAGAGACCACGAGCTGACAGAAGAAGCAGATGTAGACCACCTACACTGTGCACAGATGACGTCAAAAGAACCGCCGGGAATTGCCTGCAAGAAGTCAAGATCGACAGAACTGGAAGAAATTAGGGGAGGCCTATGTCCAATTTTAGACGCAGAAGGATGTATGATGATGATATGAGGCAAAAATATACAATCAGATAGCAAGAAAAAATGATAAGGTTAAATACTTACGAAAATTACGATAATTTACGAAATAACGAAATTTTAGGTAAATGGAATTAAAGAGAAGATAGTTATTATATATACAATTATAACTCATAAAGCGAGGGTGGCCCTCATCCCTAAAATCTTAAATATGAATGACTATGATGTGATATATAATAGTCAAGGTTATTTATTTATATTATCTTCTTGGTAGCATCTGTTACTTTAAAATGGCCAGCTCTCAAGAAGTTAATTCTTTATATGTGGAATTCAAATAAAGTGATACAAACTTTATTAACTGGCAAAAATGCAACTTAAAATATCGGGTAAATGGACCCACAAAAACAGTCCAATGAAGAAAAATCTGGTGAACGTATAACCGTTTAGTAGTTTTCTCTTACCGATCCATTCTTGAAATTACTCGTTTAAGAAATTTTCTTCACGATAACGGTCGTCCTGCTCAATTATGGCTGTTAAAGCTAGATTGATGGCATTTTTCAACAAATCTAGATACATTGCGCTATTAAACGTTTCTGGTAAAAGAATGGTCCAACAATGTGATCCCCGAAAATTGGGTGGGTTCCCCATAAAATATTTTTGGATTGATACCAAATCCATAACAACACTCATGATTAACTTTACCATTTAAGTAAAAGGAACACTCGTCAGAAAAACAAATATTAAAATCATAATTAGGATTGCTAATAATTCATCCGCAGATCCAGTTTTTTTATTTCTATTTTCCCTATTCCTTCCAAAAAAGGGTAGTGCCAAAATTTTTTTTTTCTCGTTCGTGTTATCTGGTCTATCTCACTCGTGTACCACTTGTAGTCCAGCTCTGTCGAATCCCGACCAAGACATCTCTACCAGACGGAAGTCGTGACCTTAGTATTGTGTTTTGTGTGGCTGTGTTGCCAAATATCAGGACATTTATTATCCTCCACTAGGTACACTCCCCCACAGCTCAACCGTGGCAGCTATGTGTACATGATACACAATTAAAGGCCTATTCTCACTATAGTGCTTGGCATGTGCTCGGCTTGTGCCCTGCTCGAGACTGGCAAAATTACTTTAACGTTATTTAAATGGGTTTAGCGATGGTTCGTTCTCACTACAAGTGCTCGGAGTGGGAACGGTAATTTCCCGGCATCGGACAATCTTTTCAAACAATATTTTCCTAGCCCATGCCTGGCACATTCCTTGCACAGTCCTACAAAGTGTGAATACTTCAGACGAGTTTCGAAAGGCAAAATGGTGCGAAAAAATTATTTTCACATGATACTGATGAATTTTTAATAGAATTAGTTCGTGAGAGAAGTGAATTATACGATTTTATGAATCGACTGTATGCAGATGCAGCACATAAGTCTCAGGTATGGTGAGTTATTGTAGAAAAAATTAAAATAGGTAAGTAACACACTAAATTTTGCCGCTGCCAATAATATTTCAAACAAAAAAAGTAGTACCAGGATGAAACTCGTTGGAAAAGAAAGATGATATGACAGAAATAAAACGAAAAATGATTTACGGACGACCTGAGTTCGGAAAATGGAGGGAGTGAGTTTTTTAAGGGCAAAAATGGTTTATCGTGATTTCCTAGAGCAAGGCGAACTACATATCTACTAAAGCAAGTAGAACTACAGAAACAATCTTTTTGTAATTAAAGTTGGAACCACTATTGAGTGGTGCTATAATTTCGATGTGATTTCCATCTAGGGCTCCTAATGCGTTGGGAAAATTCCACGACAACCAAAATTTTTAGGCAATTTGTTCAAAATCGCATTCTGCTGGTAATTCTGCTGAAATTCGGCAATTGACATTCTATAATATATATAAAATTTTGACCCATCATCCATGAGTTCTTTATACAAGGTATAGTATTCTTCTTTTATTTTTCTTTTGTTAATCATTGGATGTATCCAAAACCTCCTTTTTAACTTTATCTCTCATATTTTCTTATTCTTCGGCATCCAAAGTAAAAAATGCAATGTTTACTAAAGTTGCAGTGGAAAACATGAAGACTGCACAACTACCCACCTACACGTCTAACCGACTGCCTGTGCAAAATACCGCTGAAAGCATGCTACGAGCGCGAATAGTGTGAATATTCACCAAAAGCATGGCATGTGCCGGTCAGGTGACGAGCACGGGCCTGGCACATCTAATGAGAATAGACCTTAAGTGGCACCCACTAATGGGACCCGAAACCTTCCATTTTTTGTTTTTTGATTGGTGCTAAACACTAGACCAATAAAATTTACCACTTCCATTGACCGGCTGCTTTGGATTTTCAAAAACACGCTGAATTTAAACTTTCACCTTACAAAAAATATACTTTCACGGGAAATACTTTCAGGAAGACGACTCTTAAGGTCGATTCAGACTCATCAGTCCCGTTACAGTCTCGGCGCCGAACCGGTCCTGTTTGGTCACAGAACTATTAATTATTTGACAGCTGGGAAACTGTTCATCAACTGATGAATGTGAATGCCGGCGGCATATTTCTATTAAAGAATATTTTGTATGACGGATTGTTCGGTTCGGCGCCAGGACTGTGACGAAACGTGACTGATGTGTCTGAATCGACCTTTACTAGTAAATTGTATATTACCTACTATTTGGATGCTAAGTAAATACATCAAAACAGATACTGACACGTAATGACTAGCATGTAATAAAAAAAATTAAGCTTCAGTTCTATAAAAATGTGTAATATCACATAAGCCTTGTAAGTCAGTTGGTCGAGTTACCATGGAAACGAATTAACAGACGTTATTTTGACAGATTAAAAATCATTAATCTATCGGTGTAAATATAATGGTAATTTAAATACAGATAAATAAAATGAGTTTATCGAATAGTGAAGATGAATTTAGTAGCACAGCACCCAATATTATGCAGTTAGCTGCGAATACTACCGAGAACCTATTACCAGAAAAATCTAGAGGAAGATATGAAAAGGTATATCAGCAATTTATGGATTGGCGTACAACAAATAATGTAAATTCATTTTCTGAAAACGTACTCTTGGCTCATTTTGAAGAAACCGCTAAGAAATTTAAATCATCCTCATTATGGGCAATGTATTCTATGCTAAGAAGTGTTATAACTTTGAAAAGTACTGTTAATATTGAAAATTACCCGAAATTGCGAGCTTATCTAAAAAGGCAATCAGGTTTTGTGGGGCTTGTAGGAAACAAGAGTTAAAAAATCTTAAAATTTGTGACATTGATAATTTAACTACCATGTTATTGATTAAAATTCCTGATACGAAAACCAAAATATGTAGATCTTTCGTTATTTCCGAAAATTTCTGCAAACAATATAATTATAGAAATTCGACTACAGATTAGCGATCCGCAAATAAATCAATTTTTTCTTAATTATCAAAGAGGTAAATGTACGAAACAGGTGGTAGGATTAAACAAAATAAGCGGTGTTCCTAAACAAATAGCCGAATATTTAAAGTTACCAGATCCCAAAATATACAACACAGGCCACTGTTTAAGACGAACTACTGCCACTATTTTGTTAGATGTCGGTGGTGGTGATTTAATGGCTCTTAAACGACTTGACGGATGGAAATCTTCAACAACGGCCGAAGGATATGTCGATGAGTCAATAAATAACAAGACGTCAACAGCCAATAGAATTATAAACTGATTTGATAGTAATTTACAGACCTTGACATACACTGAAAATACCAATGTTCAAAAAGAACACACCGTATACTTTACGTCATCTCACCATTCACCAAGTATTATTGAACAACCGCCAAACTTGGATAAGGGTATAGTTATAAATATTTGCCAAAAGTTTAGTATTAATTATTACAAATAAATGTTTATTAAATTTAAATTGTTCCCAAATTTTGTTAAATAAATAAAAGTTACTTTTTATTTTTATATAAATAAATATAACAAGCGAGTCTTCTACAGCTGGCGCTGCTTCTCGCATCCTAATTTCCAGCGTTTTCTGTCGAAGCAATCTTCAGTTGTTAGATGTCTGGCGGTCATTGCATCGTCGACATCGTCTCTCCAGGATCGTCTTGGTCTACCTCGTTTTCTTCTAGTTGGCGGAGTCCATTCTTCTATTTTTTTTTGCTATCTATTTTCCGGCATTCTCTGAAGGTGTCCATACCAGT